AAGAGTTCAAGTGCCTGTCTAAATCTGAATTATAAGAAAACTCCATATATGAGATCGGGCACAGATTCCCAGAAAAAGCACTCAGGAGTAGTGTAGGCCATGAAATTAGGAGATCATAGAATCTATAAACTAAATAAGGAAATGCCCAGTGAATTTAGACTGCTTCTGGGTCAAACTGTACTGGAGAGTACCTGGACTGCCGTTTCAAACATAGTCACTTCATGCTCAACTAAAGCCGGATTTATGGGATGAGAAGATCCTCTGAGAAGACTTAAAGGCAATTTTAATAGGGCACCCAACACATAAACATACAAACACTATTTGTTTTGACATATGCAAACCAGATAAACAGTAAACTACTGTCCTTCACATAATGTAATAAAATGAAGCAATATCGTTGGGCAATTCACGGAATGCAAGCAAGCACAGTAAAAGTCACTGGGCATATTGAAGGCAAATATTAGACGGTGAGTGGCATTAAACAACTTTAATTAAAATGTTGAGAGTATTCAGCAGTAAAGCAGGGAGCTCTCTTTAAATGAGCTTTTTATATTAAATTAATTCTATGAACAAAAGAAGTCTGTTCAAGTATTTCATATGAATAAGCTATCTTATTACCCTTTACTAACTTTACCATGATCCTGAAAGACTACAGGCAGAATTTGCCTTACTATATTGACATTCACATTTAAACAGAGCTCCATATCAAACAGGTTTTGTTCATGTAGGTCAGCCTAACAACTGGGGACTTGCTGGAAACTGCTAATAGGTACAATTTATTATCAATAAATTCAGTCCTTTATAAAGATTAAATTAAACCATTAAGCCGAGAATACATTCGAAGAGAGAATACTATAGTCTACATATGAATCAATCTAAAATAGTCTAACTTGAAAAGAATAAAGAAGTTTATAAGATAAATAAGAAAAAATAAATTAAACCGTTAAGCTGAGAATACATTCAAAGATAGAATACTATGGTCTACACACAAATCAATCTAAAATAGTCTAAATTTAAAAGAATACAGAAGTTTAAAAGATAAATAAGAAATCTAACAATTCTAAACTGATCTTGATAGTACAGAATTTCCTTTATTTATCATAACTATCTTTTAAAGAATTTAATTTTTAAGAACTATTTATCATACCATGTTTCCCTTGCAAACATATATTTACAAGGGCAAGAAGAGCTACACAATTTCACGTGAAAAAACAGGGAACTAATGAACTTACTTGATCAATTTTCAATGACTCAATAATTTTTCATGTTCAGTGAATCAAAAATTAATTCATCCTTAAGTGACAGAGAGCTTTGAAACACTTTATCTTGAAGTTGGAAAGCACCTCAAGGTAAGTATTATGGTATCTATTTTATCAATAAGAAGCTACGGTACAAAGTTTTAAAATCTTGAAAGTCACAATTTCACAAGAAATGAACAGACCTGTATAAGATTTCCATTAAAGCATCAATAAATGATGGCATGTCAGATTTTACAGCTCTCTTTGATTAATACAAAAAGGAATCAGAGCCTGAAGATGCTATTTACACTCTAGCAAGAAGAAAAGATCGCTCTTGTAAAACATGAATTTAATAACAGCTCTTACTTAATATTTTTTACCAAAATGAACTTTATTGGTCAAGTCTGTATGTTGTAAATGTTGTTAATCTGATCAAATGCTTATTTACTGCTGAAATAATACTTATTACTGAGAAATTAACCAACCTGGGTGCTATAAATGTATAGCCAGCTTCATCAAAATGATCAAGCTTCAGTGTTTCTGTATCTACAAAGATGAAGAGTAAACACCAAGTAAGTAAACCAGGATTTTTGCCATCATTTTGCTTCTCAAAATATTTGGCGAGCTTTTGCATGCATCCATGAATTTAGAAAGAAATGTTTATGTTGAGACACTTTCCTACTAATATACTGTGTACTTCTCAGTATTTCAAAGTATAGGAAGAAATTACTTGATTATTATATACAACATACACCTGGCAACAGTAATATATCTAACAACTTAGAGAAGACATTTCATTAGCATGACAACATGAAAACATATGAGATGTTTTCATTAGAATTACAAAGAAATATTTGGGACATCGAGTTGTTAGAACATGACGGAAAATGTTTCTAGTATTTTCTGCAATAAAGTTTAAAAACTTATCCATCTAAGCATCACTTTAAATGCTACTGAAAATAATGACTTTAAGAGCTGGTGTCACTGACAACTAATAGGACCAGACAAAGAAGGATTAGAGATTAGCAACATATTGAAATGTGCATGAAAACAGAAAAACACTTCACTTTTTTTTTTTTTTTTTTCCGTTCTATTGCTAATCAATGATCATGGGAAAAATCCTGAGATGAGGAATACAGAGGAGAATGTCCAGTAGGAATAGAAATATAAGTGAAAAATATCAACTGCAGTAAACAGAAGGAAATTGAGCAACAAGAATATACTTGCCCTTTTTGATTGCCACTATCCATCAGAAAGAGAAAGCAGGGAAACAGAAAAAAACAGGGTAAAGCAAAAGGGATCACAAACCAATATTTTATTCAAACAGCCCCTTGAATAAAAATATTGTGCAAAGATAGATCAAAGGTTCAATTTACATACAGCTGTAGTCTGGAAAAAAGACAAACATCTTTGAAGACTGAAGAATATGCCCTTCTCAATAATTTCTCAAGTACCTTCTATATACTGTGGCTATTTCAAGGGTCTGTTTTGCAGGTTATATTGATATTAGTGCAAAACCAGATGATCTAATCCATCAAGAGAACCATATTCACTCACTAAAACTTTATTTTTAAACTACTTACTATTTGGCAAAGTTACAAAATAAATCACTCATTATTAAAAACTTGCCATATTCTACTTCGTATGTAGGAGGTGATGGTAGAGGACAGTGATTCAGTGCTAATCAAGTTTCCTCTAAACTAACAGCATCTATGCCTGTCAGAGAAATTCAGTGCTTTTCTAACTGTCTATTTAATGGCATATTTGTTCATGCTTATCGTAACACTTGGATAAAGTTAAAAGGATGTGATGGATTTTATTTTGTCTACTATCTAGATTACAGTTAAGCTACGCCCAATAAACAAAAAGCCTTTGAATACTCACAAGTATCATTTCCAACTATCTCTCCAGAATCTGCAAATGGCTTGAAATTAGTCTAATCCAAAAATACATTACAAACGTCTACTAAAACTATTTGCAAAATGCAAAACAAAACCCTAGCTGCAAGCCAAACCAAACAGTGCTTTCACATTAAACTATTCCTACGGGCAGCAGAGGTAATTTGCTAAGTATTATACTGTAACTACTGTAAAAATAACAAAAAAAATGCTTTACTACTACAAACTATATCATGACATTTAGCTAATAGAATGAAAAAAATAGTATCCAGACCCTTAAAACGACAGCAACAGAGGATACACAAAGCAATGATTCTATAGGCACAGAGCAAGGGGGAAGGGATTGTCAGTGGAACTGGGGTACCTGCACATATTCTATCTTTATAGAATATTTCTTGTACCTTGGGTGTTACAATGGGTTAGAATCATTGCTGCAGATTTTGGGTACATCATGATAACATCAGTGAATTTCACAAAATTTATGAATTCTAAACATTGCTTTTTTAAGTGAATCTGAGACTTGGCAATACTAAAACCAGGGAACCTTCATAGTACTTACATCTGGCTTGAGTTATTGGTTCTTCTATTTTGGCTTTAATATAATAAAAGCTGTACGATGGTAACACCAATGCCAAACTGCAATAGAAATAAGACAAGCAAAGCAATTATGTTATTTGCAGCAGTTTTCCAGTTTTGGTTTCTATTTGTTTTGAAAACAATTAACAAGTTTGGAAGTTGGATCATCATGAGAGAAGACAGTGACATCAGGTTGACACTTTGTAATAGACACAAGTAGGTTCATGCCAGTCGAAGTTCCCTGAGGTTATTTTCATTCTTATTTACACATTTAAGCATAAATGCACTTTTTAATAGATAAACAAGGAATTTCCAAATAATAAAATACATAATTTCTTGCATCTTCCTCTAACACATTTAGCATCCCAACATACCACATGTCAAAGAGATCAGTGACTGAAAAAAAAGCATGAAGTGCTGCACTGATTTGCATGCATCATATAATGACAGACTCTCCTTTTACTAATCAAATAACTACCAGTATGCATTAGGAAATGTATCTGGCAATACTTGAATTCACAGTACGTTCAAGATGCAAACTTCTTGAATCATGCTGTCACCACTGAAAACCTCTGAACATAATCATGTAATAACAGTTTAAGATTTGCAAAGCATTTGCAATGTATTTTGTTTTAGATTATACTTGGTTTTGTTAAAAAAAATATTTATCTTCTCTTTGCAAATAAATTCAATACATGTGTAGAAGAGTTCAGTTCTAAAAAGGTATGTAAAGGACAGGGGTAGGAGTAATCATTAAAGAGGTATGATCATCTCCCACATCGCATCCTTAATATTTGCACTCGGATTTCATGACTGTGGAACTGCAATGGTTTCTAATGGATAGCCGCAGAAATTAACATTTAAAAAGTTGTACAATTGAGCCATAAATGAGATGACCTTTAATGATACGCTTGCCATTTAAACAGAATGTAAGTGAGGTTGTTGAATATTTCGTTATAGCCTCCTACCAATTCTCCTCTAGGGAAATCAATAACAGTTTACCTGTCATTAACGGTTACTGCTAGCAGAAATTGCTAATTAAAATCTATAATTTTATGTTTAATAGGTTTTCTGCGATGTGACTCCATGGATTTATTGCTGTATCTCATGCCAGGGAGCTGAGCAAGAATTAAGAAGTCATATAAATTGAATGTATTTCTTTACTGATTGCTAGATGGCATAGTCTGATAAAAAATTTTCTTTTCTTACAGAGTATAAAGATAGAGGCGGTTCAACAGAAAAATGGGATGCTGAATACATCCTACATTTACATTCTCTTGTTAAAACTGATTTGTTCGGTTTTGTAAACAAATTAATGTTTGCGTTCTCCTTGGCTGTATACCTGTGCAGAACAGAACAGAACATGGGAACCAGCTTGGCTGAGGACTATGCTAATTCATCACAATAAAAATATTGTTTTGGTAAAAATTTGACTTAATATTTGTACCATCTAGTTTTGAATTGGAGTAGTTTAATCTTTCTGGAACTTGGTAAACCTGAACTTGTTTTGAATTACATCAAGTTTCTACATTCCTTCTAATGTTACAGAGCTGTGTGCTTAAAAGAGTTTGAAATAATGTACATTGCAACGTTGCATTCAAGGGGGATGTGCTTTTAACTATTACTTCATTTGTCCTGCTGCCATTCACCATATGATTTTCATATTCAAAGCAGTATCAGTGCTAATTAGTTAAAACTTGTTACAAATAGTTACAGATTTTGGAGATAATCAGTAGCATAGTTCCTGCCCTAAGCTCTGACATGAAGTTTAGCAAAGTCATGATATAAGCAATGACTGTGACTCAAAAAGATTTGCACAAAACATCTCACATTTTTTATTTAGACAAAATATAGCATCTTCCTTTTTAATAAGCATATTAAAAGAACAACATGGAGACAATGCAAAGAAAAGATGAAATAAGAGGAGGAATATAAGAGAAAGTGTGCAATTAAGAATCAAAGTATGGTGTGATATGGAAAGTAGGAGGAAAAGTAAGATTCTTAACATCAATCATAAAACCTTTTTTTTCCTGCATACTGAAATAACCTAGTCATAAATCTCAACAGTTGGATGAAAGACTGAGGTTCTGGTCCTTAGAGCAACAATTCTGAGCTGTAAAGGAACCCAGCAAATCCTACAGGCCTGGACACAAGACTACCTGGCCCTGGCTTAGCTAGTATAGAAAATGTAATGCTAAAATATTAACCAAAACAAACAAAAAGCACATTTAACTACACTAAAGAAGACAGAGAACAGAAATGAGTTACCTGTAATCGGTGCCATTCACAGCAGTCCATGTATATGTTCTGTTTCCTTTATCAATATATCTCTACAAAAAGATATTGGAGAAAAAATAAATTATTAACTCTGAAGCTTCAATAAACATGTCCTTTTCTTGAAAAATACAGTGTAAAATCAAGTACAAATCTCTTGGAATTCTGTTTATAATTTTGCTAAAAGCACAAGTCGAGTTGCAATTCCTTTTCTTAAACATTTTCCAAACATATTATGCAAAAGAATCACCTACATCCTTTTTATTGAACATTAACGAAATGCAAATTTAACTAAACCCAGACAAGCACGACCTATCATTTTCCCTTTTAAATTTATTAGCCAGGCCTATGCCAGATTTTTTCTATGATGTGATTTAAATTTTGTAAAAGAGGTTATCTCCTTTATGGACCATTTTGCAGTTAAACTATGAAAACAAAAAAATCTTAATTATAAAAAGACTTTGCAGGTAAGTCTTTAACAACAAACCCCCCTGTACCTCCCAGTCACAGTACCACTGGCTAAATGCATTTCAATTTAAGTCATAGCTGCAGGCACAGCCAGATAGTCCTGATTGCACAGGCACCTCATGCTAAACTTATACGTGTTTCTAATCTCATTAGGAGGCTTTTGAATTTGTGAAAAAAATAACATGGAAGGAAATGTTTATTTTTAAATAAGTCAATACATTAGGATAAGCTTTATCATTACTTTTCTTTTGGTATGAAAAATGACGTGATAGACACAGTCTCATAGTTCCCCATAGATTTAAACGTTAATGCATCAGGCCAACATCGTTTTACTCAATTTTCTACTTTGAAAACTACAAGTTCATGCCAGCTGCAACATATTATTATTTTACAATCAGACATTTGTAAGTATGCCAGCAATGAAGTCTGTGCAGCTGTTGTACTGCGATATTACAAACACTGGCGAAAGGTACCACAGGTATAAGTCTACGTTCTTTCTTTCCCTGCAGTAAAACCAAAGTGTGAAAATGACCATGGTTATGAAAAAGAGGTGTCTTTTTTGATATTTATGATTTGAAACCTTCTCATTATCTGGCTGATGCTTTTCAGCACAGCATGACAGTGTAAATAATTTAATAGTAATTTTGGAAAGAAAAAAACAAGAAAAGAAAAAAAAAGAAAAAAGAAAGAAAGATGCATGTATCGGTCTCTAACACCCTGATATATTTTATAATTATGTTAAACACATGGCTAAAGAGATTCCTATCCAAGCTTATTTATATTTAATAATGTGCCTACACTATTACTTCAGCTCAAGAATAAGCAGACACTTGAACCTAGCACTGGCAGCCCCTCCAAATCAGGCACAGGGCCATGAGTTGCACGCCATGTACGTTGGCAAGAGAAAAGCAGTGCCCAAGGTGAGAGGGAAGAGAAGAACTGGGATCTACTTAAATCCTGTTGTCACCAGCCCTGTGAACATGCTTGAAAGCAAACTGCCTGAAATCTCCCTTCAAAGATAATCCAGGGGATCACAAGTCCTCATACGTCTGCTCCCATTTACCTTTGCCTACTTTGTTACCGAGTGGTCTGAGACCATCTCATCCCCAGCTGGTCATTGCCGAAGAACCTACACACGTTATTGCAGTTTTTGCGACCCTTCAGTTTTCACTACTGCCCGCCCCAGCTGCCTGAATGTGGCAATGTTTTTGTTCCTATGGCATCTTCTGTTAGTTGGAAAGTCCCTGAGGCTTGGAAGACTCCAGTACACCCCACCCACGCTTGCCAGAGTCCAATCTCTATGCTGTAGTATGAGGTCATCTCCCAAGACACTGCTGGGGCCAGCTGCAATACAAGAGGAAAGCAATGCAAACTTAAACCAGAAAGCAAAAGAAAAGGGACGTCAATTTTAAGCCTCAGACTGCAACTGTCAGTACAGAGCAACTGACCACATCAGCTCTTTTTATAAGAAAATATAGGAAGCTGTCAAGTCCCAAGTGATGCATGGCTCATGCATGGCCTGTGGTCTGAAGCAGCTTTATTCTGGCTCTAGCAGCCTGAAGCTGGGAGGATGCAATGGCTTGAAGCAGTCACCATGGCCAGCCATCTCTGGAAGAGGAAGAAATCTTGGGCCATGATGCAAGGGAAGGTGAAGGAAATTAATTCCACTGGTCACTTGAAGCATCTGGGATCAAAAGGCTTGGGATATTCTATTCAAATACAGATTGCGGTCTGGGCCATGCATAACTGACACATTCTCATACACTGAGGGATGTCACATCTGCCTCGATGTTGTAGCAGACTCCAGCATTTGCAGGTGTAAATGCTTCTCCTCCCTCCCTCTTTGGGCAAACAGTTGCAGAACAAACTGTTTCAGATCCCTTTTACCACACAACCTGAGAAATGCATCCACAGCCCAAGATCTCTTCAGCAACTTTGCCATGAATAAAATTGCTTGTAAAACCTCAATGGTCGTGGTGTATTTTTGTGACCTTCTAATCCTTCCTTTTCTAACTACCTACACAGAGCCCTTTTCACCCATGGGTTTGGAAAGGCACTCCTTAAACAAAACAACACAAGTCTGAAAATGTCCTGGGGAGTCCCTCCCTTCAGGAGCAGCTTATCCCCAACGCAGATGCCAGCAGGACTTTGGACTCTCCAACAGTGGGTCAGGAATGACCCAGTCTCCCTTCAGAACAAGGAGACAGGCTGGTGGCTTCCTAGACAGGATGGGCTCCTGACGTAGGTGAGGTAGCAGAACTCACATCAGATGGGACTTACCCCCCCCTGCCCCAGGAAGGCCCTATTCATTCACCATTCTCCAATAGTGGAACCATCCAGGAAAAGGCACATTTTTTTCACACAGCAGGATTTCCCTGTAGATTGTAAAGAAGCATTGTAAAGCCTTAGTCAGGAGGGGCAGGGTGGGGGCTTTACTGTGAGAAAGTGCAGAAGAGAGTCCTGGCAGAAGGCAAGGGGACTGCTGGTACAGGTATCTGCTTTACAAAAACATGGGAAGAAGTGAGAGGCAGCAGGAAGTCAAATGAGAAGGAACATAGGCATGTTTAATGAGATCATGAGACTCCATAGGTTCAAGGACCGTAACTTATGGGCATGCTTTGTACCTGGAAAATCTAAGTGTATTAGGCTTGAGTTGTCCTCCCTCATAGAGACAAAAGCAGGAAAGTATGACTTCGCTGCCTACATGATTACCACATCATCATTATTATCATCTTTCAGCTAAGATCATCTACAGTTACATTTATCTGCCCCCACTGAAGCTGAGGTTCTGTACTCAAGAAGACAGTCCATGAGGTTCTGCCCTTTCTGAATGGAGTATCAAAAGGAAGACAGCACTCAACACCGAGTCAGATTCCCTAGACTCTGCAATACAATAAAATACCATGACAACCTTTCTGCAACAAAGTCACAATCTTGTTTAGCAGGGAATTGAATGAATATACAGATTTTAATCTATCTCCTCCCAGGTGGACATACATGCAAGTAAAGTCACTGATCTCCTCAATGACATCCATAGCTCAGGAATAAAAAATGCCTCTGATGGATTTGGACAGTTGTGAAGATCTTGAGCATGGCTTCCTGTCTTTATTTGCGCTCCTTTTAAATTACACTATCAGAAGCAGCATGCTTTGTCAAATTGAGTGCAGATACTAAGAGGCTGAGAAATGGTCATGAGATGTCCACCTCTGGAGTCCTCAGTACAGAAAAGACATGGACTTGTTTGAGTTGGTCCAGATAACGGCCACAAAAATGATCAGAGGAATGGAACACCTGTCCTATGAAAGAGTTGGGATTGTTCAGCCTGGAGAAGAGAAAGCACCAGGGAGACCTTATAGCAGCCTTCAAGTACCTAAAGGAGGCTTTTAAGAAAGATGGGAACAAACTTTTTAGTAGGGCCTGTTGAGATGGGACAAGAGGTAATGGTTTTAAACTAAATTCAGACTAGATATAAGGAAGACATTTTTTACAACTGCATTGCAGGGGGATTGGACTAGATGACCTTTAAAGGTCCCTTCCAACCCAAACTATTCTATGATTCTAAGTATGTTCCCAAAGGTCTGTTGTGGAACCAAGTGACTATGAACTTCACATTGTGAAATCACAGCATGGATGAACGATCGATGCATGTTTCAGAAAATTCAGCTCCATTTTCAGCCTCATCTAGCAAAGACAACATGTGCATTGCCATTGATTTTCACCCACAAAGACAAGTAAGTTTCTACCATGTTTGATGCAAAAATGGACCAGGACCGTGAAATATTTTTTTCCTGTATCACGATGAGAATAAGTATATAAGAATCTTCCATCAATGCAGAATGGAATCAGAGGACTGGTAATAGTAACTGCTCAATACTGGGCATCACTTGGTGTAATCTGGCCAAAATTTAAAGCAAAGTTTAAAAGTTGCTACCATTTATTAGACAATGAATGGAATATAAGTAAGGGATGTGCCATTTTTAAAAGAATACTCCCTCCCCAAACTCTGAGGCCTGATTTTCTATCAATTTAACTTGATTCGATTGTGTAGCATTTGCCTTGTGAGAAGAAAGAACTTTTCACTGGAACATTCTGCCATTTAATCACAAACAACAGAGTCACTGGAGATATCAAAGCTACAGGATATCAACAGGAGAGGGCAGATAGTACTACACATGAAAAATTAATCATGCAATTTTGCTGACTATTGCTATGGTATGTTTATATAAGGGTTGTGTACTGTCTGCTTGATCTTATATTTGCTTCACATTTTTCTGCTAAATTATTAAATTAGCTATCTTCAAGCTGGTTTACATTCAGAGTAAAACAGTTTCAAAAAGCTGTTGTAGAACTGTAACTGTGGGGCGTACTCTGGCCAGAACTGCTCCAGTCATGATTTCTTCTCATTAAGGTCCCCAAGAAGTAGAGCATACATGTAAGGATCCATATCAAATTTGAGTATTTCTTATTGCTAGGAAACGGTAGCGATCTTTATCAGGAATTAGCATTTTGGGCAAGAAAATAAAGAATTCAACAAGCTCTTCAGAAAGCACAAGTACGTAATATAACTGTGAGATGAATTTGCTATTCCCAAATAGTCTTCATTTAAATGAAATAGAAATATTATATTTTTTTCTAACTAGTTTCTTCCCATTCTTCCCACAACATAAACTACCAAATCCATCCTCACACATCTGCGCAAGCAAATTAAGTCCTTTGTTTTGGGATTCATGCACAGAAGTAGGCTGGGTCCATTTCCTGGTGAACAGAGTGTAAGACCTCATCAACAACTGCCTGATTAATGATGCGCTAAAGAAACCAAGAAACAAAACAATTCTTCTTTTCATAAGTACATAATTTCTTTTACTATAAGCCAGTGAAACTAGCAAACTGAGAGGGAAAAATGATACAACCTGACATTACAAAATTAAGATCTTTTCACACTATTTTTTTGGTTTTGTTTGTTCCTGTAAATATAGTTGCCTGTGTTCCTATCTCACCTCATCTTGGGACTTGACCAGTGTTTCAAATGTTTTTTCTCCACTTTCTCCATCTATCATTTTTTTCCGAATCTATTGGCAAGGAAGAAAAAAAAACAAACAAACTAGGTGTCGTATGTATCATATAGATATATAATATTTCATATAACATATAT